CTATGAGTTAAAAGGGTCATGTCATGTAGACAAAAACACAGTTGTTGTTAAAAATTAGGAATGCAATTCGGGCGGGTTTGACAATCAACCATAGCCTAATCCTAGATATATAATTTTCAATCCTAATCCTAATCCTATCCCTATGTCGGGTTGAGGAACTCAACCCAAGCACTGCCCGAGTTTAATTCGGGCGGGCTCGGGTTGATGATTTTGTGCTGATTTTGAGTTACTTTACGGGTTTAATTTGAATTGAGTTCGGGTAGAACCCAAAATAGGCTTGTTGTTCTAAACCTAATACATATATTACATAATATTCACATAAATTAACAACTAATAAGTTCAACCAAGTTTTTAACATAAAAACCATTACCACCAGTCTACTGCAAGAGAGACAGAGAGAGGGGAGAATAATTACAAATTCATAAAATATAATCCATATATTTCATTCATAACAATGCACAATTATTAATCATTTACTTTCACACCAAAAATGAAAAAACAATGCTTATGTTATATATATATATATATATATATATTTTTTTTTATTTTTTTTTTTTTTTATTTTTTTTTTTTTTTAATTTGTCAAGTTCGGGTTCAACCCGTGAACTTGGTGCCTTAATCCGAGCTCAATCCAAATTGAATTCGGGTTATAATTTTTTGACCCAAGCCTAATTCAAGTATTAAAAACCCTTGCCCAAATTCTAATTTTTTCTAGTTGGACTCGGGTTGAATGCGGATTGCCCAACCCAAGTTGCACCCCTAATAAACATGATTATCTCGATACGAGCGTGATACGAGGTTTATACAAGTCATGTTTGGATAAAGAGGACCTAACCCGCCTAACATGACTGGCCCAACACGACCCAGCAGTTCAACAAATATTCCATATTGAACATCACAACACAACATTAATTATTTTAAAAGCCAAAAGCCAGATCAGAAGCTTAACAACATTAATTATTTCAAAAGCCAATAGCCAGATCAGAAGCTTAACAACATTAATTATTTCAAAATCTAAAACTCATATCAGAATCTTGACAAGATGTTGTTAACAATACTTTAAAAAATGTAGATCTAATGAAATCCCTAATATAGATCTAATGTTGTTAACAATACTTTAAGATTAGAGTTTTGGTTATGGATCTAAATTAGAGTTTTGGTTAAATTATGAATTACAATTAGGTGAGAGTCATAAGACCGTGAGAGAGAGAGAGAGAGAAACGATTAAGATAGTTGAGTTAGTTCGCAGCTGCATGGACAATAACAGTAAGTTAATAACATACATCTGCAAGATTGAGTATCAGACTGATTTCCAAGTCATTGGGTAGCTCTATGATGCAGGCTTTAGGGTTGATCTTCTTTAACATCTTGCATGAGCCATTGCATTCCATTTGCACAAGTAATAAAAAGCTCTATGTTAATAATTCAATTGATTCTTAGAAAAAATATTATTTTATCTTTATTGATAATAGCTAAAAATATGGGTCGTATGTTATCATTGCAACTTCCTGAATAGAGAGAGAGAGAGAGAGAGAGAAAGCTGATCTGAAGTTTGAAGGAGTGAGAAGGGTGAGTCCTTCACACAGTCGCCCAAGAGAAAGGAAAAGGCATTCAGCTAGGGCTATTAATCGAGCAGAGTCTATCAAGCTCGTTTTTTTACATGAGGCTAAAAAATTATTCAAATTTGACTTATTTAAAAAATAAGTCGAACCCAAACTGAGTTTTAATAACTCGACTATTTTATATAAGCGAACCGAGATTTACGAGCTCAAATCAAACCTTTGAAACTCATTTTCAAAATGAATTTAAGTTTCGCTCATTTAAAACAAGAGACAGGGTCAAGCCAAGCTAAACTTAATTATCAGTCTTATTGGCAGGAGCTGAAATGAAAAAATGACAAAGTGAAATGAGGGGTGGGTTTTAGGGTTAGGGTTAATTTATATAATGGCAGGTCAATCGGGTTTGTGTCAGCCCGATTGGTCAATTGGGTCAATTTCATGTCAACGAATCAAATCATATATAAGTTTGTGTCAAAAGATTGTCAACCCAACCCATTAATTTCGTATCATGTTATGTCAGAATTAGCCACCCTTAGTTGGCTGTAGGCAATAGCCCAACCTGGTATCCAAGTGGTAAGGAGAAAACCCAGCCCAGCCCACCTTATAGTGGCCCGTGGACAGTCCATGAAGCCAATAGATAATGTCATAACTAATCAATTATCCGTGTTGGCCCAATTGATTGACCCAACAAAGTATCCAATTTGCATAAAGTAAAACAACGGCCAGAGAGTTCATGTAACAACAATGATCCGAATTATTTTGTTCGGATGATTTATTGTATAATTTTAATTTTTTAACTACAATACATCTACTAATTTACATTTACTTTTATTAACTATAGTAAACATTTTACCTACAATAAATATTTTATCATTCACTCATAGTTTGATCACAGTAAAAAAAAAAAGTGACCAAGGGACTCGCTTATATACAAATGGTACCACATGAACTTACAATAAGTGAGCACAAGAAGTAAAATGAAGAAATATATTAGGAGTAATCTCATTCCACAAAATCCCAATAACAACAACCGCAACAACACTTAAAAAATGTAATAATAAATTACAACCGGTTCCAAAGCTGAATAAGGGTATTTTATTTCAATAAAAAAAACCATAAAGAAATCAAGTCTAAGCTTCACTCTCCAAATATACTACAGAACTTCAATCCGATCATAAAGTATATGCAAAATTTGCATAGAAACCTGGACTGTGGGTTAGCCCCAGAGCAGAATTTCTATATACCTGGAGAAGCCTTACCAAATGAATTACAGATAAAAATGTTGTGTTTAGTACTATACTATGGTATAAACCACCAGCGTCCAGTAGAACACCTTCGCCACATTTGAGTCTCCAAAATGTAGTTTAGCTATAATTCTTAATGGAAGCCTCTACAGGAGAAATTAGCTCTTGTACACACCTCAACCATCATACCAATGTTCCCCATTCATATATTTGCATTTCAAGAGAACCAGGGGGCATTCCAGAACATAAATTGAATCTTTTCAAACTGTTTTCTAAGAAGAAATGACATATATTGCTAGACCGGGAGGAGATCAGTTCAATAAGGTAAAGGAACTTGGAAAGGTCATCTATATACTGCTACAACACAAACTACAGGACTTGATATACCTGTGGCATATATTGCTAGGCCGGGAGGAGATCAGTTCAATAAGGTAAAGGAACTTGGAAAGGTCATCTATAGACTGCTACAACACAAACTACAGGACTTGACATACCTGTGGATTTGGTTGAAACTTGACAACAGCCTAATGTCGCCAAACATTAATTGATGTAAAAGTCTAGGGAAGCATCATATCCAAAGCCAACCCAACTAAAGTTTCAACATGAGAGAGTTTCAACATGAGATTCAAAGTTCGGAGCTAACTTCTACAGCTGAGAAACAAAAGGTTCATCACTTTGTGGGTGAGACTGAAATGCCCTCAACAAAGTAGAAGCAACAGTCTTTGCATTTCCAAATGCCAGCATTCTTCATATTGATGAGGCACTCTTCAATTTATCATTCAGTACCCCCCCCCCCCCCAAAAAAAAAAAAAAAAAAAAAAAACACCACCACACCCCACAAAGGAAAAAAAAAATCCCATCATTATACACATACATACAATATAGCAGCTCATCATCCTGTCTCAAGCAAAGTATATACACTTAGTCCAATTGATTGATAAGTATTTCAATAGAACCCTTGTATCAGCTCGATTGGTCCAAACTGCTCAACATATTTTTTAACAAGCTTGCTTTTATTTTTTAAACCAATGTATGTGATACAAGTGGAAATGTAAAAGAATCTCCATCTCGCAACAACATTCAGGACATAACTTCAAAGACAAGCATGATCACATATTTCTATCGGCAATATACATGCCAATTTGGATTGAGCTTTAAAACTGCAGCGGATGATATTGAAGACGATGCGAATGACAACAGTGATAAAAATTAGTAGGATTCAAGGAAGCAAGAGATGCTGGCTTAGTGGAGTAGAGAGAAAGAGAGGGACACAGCAAAAGGAGTTTTAAGGGCATAACACTGGGGTAGAGCTTGAGACCAGACTATATCAGGGAAATATATTTAATAAAATGTTGCACTAATGAGCATTTTCTGCATTCAGTACTAACTCAAGACTTCCACTTCATTCTCCAGTCTTCAGACCAACCTTGAGGAGGTAAAGGAAGTGACGCAGAGGTCAGAGGGAGGATTATTAACCCCTTTAAACCATAATTTATGTTTCCGCTCAAAAATGTCAGAGAGAATGGAAAATAAAACAAAGCTAGTGATTACACATTTTACCCATATTTTTTATATTCCATTCCCCATTTTGAACCTTTTTGTCGAATAAGAAAATAGAAAACACCACGATTCCCTTTCTTTTCCTTTCATCACCATTCCTGAACAATAGCAATTTCCTTTCCCTTCTTAGTCATTCAAGTGGGAGGTCACCAAAATCATATCATTTCCTTTCCTTTACCTCCTACTTACCCAAAAAGTGTTCTTATTTCATAGGAACATAACTTATTGAGTAATTACTATTCCATCCATCAACCGCAATGAATCAATCTTGTACTGAAAAGGTTGTGGTTTAGCACTTAATTGTGTTATCAAACAACCTCTAAGCTATATTTCTTCCTCATCTCCTCAGCCTTCCAAAAAAAGGCTTAAGAGATCACACCTACTTTAAGAAATATTTAACTTCACTCATCCCAATAATCTTATTTCTAACAAATTGTTGAATTTGTCACATACAGACCAAAAAGGAAAGAAAAAAAAAAGTTGACAGCAATAGATATATTCTACAATTTATTTCCACACCGTCCAGATCAAATTCCTTCATAATTAGAACAAACGTACACATAAAAACACATAGAGGTAATTGAATACTGGGAACAACATTGAAAAAAAATACGAAATGAAGAGAAAGACAACACTACTAGGCAAGTTGATAGTATTCGCCACGGTACATATCTCGCTGAACGAACACTATCGCATAGAGAGCGTAGATTATTCCAGGAATATAGCCCAAAATTGTCAATACCAAGCATATAAAGAACTCCACCTGCAAATTCAAATCCATATCAACAAAATTACATCTACATACAAACAAATCAATTCCAATATAAAAAACCCAAATTTTTATCTCATAGTTTTGCAAACCCATATGGTGATTTATAGATAAAAACAGAAAAATAGGGTGGGTTTGGGGGTTACAGTGCAGCAACCGTGACTGAGGCAAACACCAAGCGGAGGGATCAAGATTGCGAGTAGGATTTCGCACAGGATTTCACATCTGGTTGCCATTGTGACTTGTGGGGAGAGAGAGAGAGATAACAGAGACTTAATGGGGAAAGATATTTTAATAATGAAGTTGCTTGGAATAGCTGGAATTTGACTTATTAACAATTTCATAGCTGGAATTTGACTTATTAACAATTTCGGACGGTGTGTTTGTAAGGTAGTTAGTGGGCCTCTCAATTTAAAATTGGGGAGATTGTACATATTACCCTCAAAATTATATAAAAATTAGACTTCGGCCCTTTTGAAGAATTATCATCAATCCTAATCAAGTACCTGGATTTAATGGAAATATTGCAATGATCAGTGAACTTTTCTTAGAAACCACTAAACCATTTTAATTTTAAGTCAAACCAAAAAGGCATTTCGAAAATCCGTAATCACCCAAAAAACGTAAGAAAAAGGGTGTAATTCGAGTCAAGTCATCACTAATGATGACTTAAATTGGAACAAAATTTTGAATATGAATTTGTTTTCACTCTTCTCTTTCTTTTACTAATTTCCCTCCAAAACTTCTTCCCTCTCATTTTTTCCTTCCCTTTCAAACTCCTTTCCCTCCCATTATAATTCTTTCCCAAATAATGCTTCAATCTAATGTAATTTTAAATTTTAAATGAGTGAAACGCTGGACATTATATTAATGGCATCAACTTTTTTGAATTCAAAAATATATGATGCTGCCAAACGAACGAACAAAAGTTGTGTGCTACAAAAGCAACGACAACCTAAAACATTGTGCAACTCTTGATTGCTAAAATTTAGACTAACAAATTCGGAGATGATGTTGGTGGTAAATAACCTCAGTTTCAACTTTCAACGGAGTCATTTAGACAGAAGATCAAGATGGAGGAGAGAGAGAGAGAGAGATGGGGGAGGGGTAGAGTCGAGGGTGAGTCAAGTTAATTTGAAGATTAAAACAGAAATATTAAATTGAGTTTTTTTTTTTTAGCATTATTTTTAAAAGAATAATTTATTTTTAATTTCCTATATGAGAGGGAGACAAAAAAAAATGTGTTAATATTGTCGAGAAAGATATTTCAATTTTTGTTTTTGATTTTATTTTTTACCACAATGAGAAAGAGAAAGTGTTTAATTTCAACTTTTTTTTTGTTTGTTATTTTTTTTTCCAAAAAGAGATAGAGAAAAAAAAAGTGGGTGAGAATAAATATGAGTTGAATTTTGAATATTTTTTAAATTTTTTTAATTTTTAAGTTTTTAATATTATGGATTGGATTATAGGCCCAAATTATTGCAATAAAAATTTTGATTGGATTTAATTTTTTGGGGCTTTTTTATAGGACTTAAAATTTAATGGATTTAATTTTTTTATAGTCTATTGATGTACCTAAAATTATGAGACCTTCTAAAAATTTGGGGCCTAAAACCCATATTTTTTTCTATACTATTGGACAGGGCCTAGATAGAGTGAAGCTAAAAAGAAGATCGTTAAGGATTCAATAATGTGATTGGGATATAATGTACTCTAACTAGAGGTTAAAGGTGGTAAATGAACGGGTTGATGGTAAATGAACGGGTTGAGTTGGTTATGGACCGATTCAAAATAGGTTGGTGTAAAATAAATTCAATTTATTTTTAACCCGTTTAATAAACAAGTTCTATTGGGTTGGATTAAACCTATTAATAATTAAAAAATTTAATATAAATATATATTAATACATAAAAAATAAAACACACTAATATATTAAAATACACACATTAATACACTAAAAATATACACACTAATACACTAAAACAGACACACTAATACACCAAAAATTCACACACATAAATATACTAATACACAAAATACAAACACATTTAATAAAACACCAAAACACACACATATACACTATTTACCAAAATACACACAAACAAAGGGTCGAGGTTGGGGGTCGGGGGGTACTAGTGTGTGTGTTTTGTGTACTAGTGTGTGTGTTTTAGTATATTAATATATGTGTATGTATTTTTTAGTATATTAATGTGTGTATATTTTTTGGTATATTAGTATGTGTATTTGAATTTATACGTACAAACCTCATGGGTCTATATGTGTATGTATTTTTTAGTATATTAGTGTGTGTATATTTTTTGGTATATTAGTATGTGTTAATGGGTCAACCCCAAGGGCCCAACTCCAAGAGGTCTAGCTAGTCAAGTCCAAAGGAGTTTGCACCTGGTCAAGCTCATCAGGTTTTAGGAGTTACATCAGTAGAGGATCACGAAGGGTCATTCCAAGAGCCTCCTCCTCACCACTTTGAAGTAAGGGTCATCGAAGAGTCTCCTCCTTGCCACCTTGAAGTAAGAGTCGTCCCAAGATTCTCGTCCAATCCGCCCTAGAAGAAGACAACTCTCACATCATCCTTTGACCGAGTACTATGAAGAGTATTGTAACTGACTCACCTGTTGAGAAAAGGTCGTCATCTTCGCCAGATCAACTTTTTAATTACTATTAAACCACTTCAATCCGTTATGACTGCCAGACTAACTATTCAATTACTATATATTATGAGGCGACTATAAATTGTAAGCCCCACTAACACTTGGGGGGTAGATTACACTCATTTGAGCATAATTCTCTCATCTCCCTATCAAAACTTGTAATTCTTTGCTCTCCCAACAGACTGGAGTTAATGAAATACTGGCGACTCTTGTTATTCAAAGTGGACGTAGGCCATGTTGACCGAACCACTATAAACCTTGTCTTCTCTCTTCCTTTACTTATTTTACTGCATTTATACTGTTTACTTGACGGATGGTGTGTAAACCAATTTATGAATTATCAGTTTAGCACCGTCTATGGAAAGACAAAATTCTCACTTCTAAACACTTTTTTTGTTGAATTTATGGCGATTACAACCAGATCGATGAATCAACCTGAGGATAATCCACCACGAGAGGATGAGGTTGTTCCTCCACCAATCAATCCTGTCCCAAATACGCAGCAGATGTTGGGGACTATGCAGTAATTTGTGGCCCAAAACCAACAGATCCTACAACTCATGTTCATTGGACAAGAAAGAGCACAGACAGGAGGACCTCAAGTCAGAGAAGCTCCACACCCTAGACATCAAGGAGCTCCACACTTAGGTGCTTCTCATCTGGACGCCCCCTTTAGAGTTCCTTTGGGAGTCCCCTTAGGAGCCCCACACAGGGGGGCCTACAATGAAGGACCTCCACCTCCTCCTCCAGTTCCTGCTTCCCATGGTGGAGACCCTCATTTTCAAGAGGATGAAGGTGAAAACCAAAATATGGAACATGAGAGTCATTTTCATGATAATTTCAAATGAGCTTCTAACCACTGGAACGAAAAAATAAAAGAGGTGAAAAATCAACTGGATGACGTCTTCAACGCCATGAAGGCACAAGGACCTAAGACTATAGACTACCTTGTCAGGCAAACTGAACCACCTTTCAAACCTAATGTTGCGAACTACCCCCTCCCTCAAAAGTTCAAAATGTCATATGTGGAGACCTTTGACGGAACGAAAGATTCACTAAACCACCTTGATACTTACAAAAACTCTAATACAGCTGCACAATGTCCCCGACGAGATCATGTGCAGGACGTTCCCAACCACCTTGAAGGGATCTGTCCGACAATAGTTTGTCAAGCTCTCCTCAGCTTCCATTGCCTCCTTTACTGAGCTGAGCAGGTCCTTTGTGTCGCACTTTATTGGAGGGTGCCGTTATCAAAAGCCTGACACTCACCTGCTCAGCATGAAGCAGAACCAAGAGGAGAGCCTAAGGAGTTACCTCACTCGTTTTAATGAGAAGGTCCTCCAAGTTGAGGAGCCCAATGAAAAAGTAACTATGACCGCTTTGTTGGGAGGCATCCGCTCATCAAACTTCCTCTTTTCAGTAATGAAACGACCACCAAAGAGCATGTCAGAACTATTAGCAAAAACTCAAAAAAATATGAATGTTGAGGAAGCCAACAGGTCCAAGCCAGGTGAATCATCTCGCGGATTACCAAAAGCTTGACCTGCCTCTACACCACTCTCAAACAGTCAACCTATATATCCAATTTAGCGGCTCTCTCGCAGGTTTTCAAAAATTTGGTCTTTGCACTTTTCTCAAACAGGTAGCCTATATCTCCAACTTAGCGGCTCTTTCACGGGTCGCCAAAAAGTTTGGCCTCTACACTGTTGTCAACACAGGCAATCCATATCTCCAGTTGAGCGGCTTTTTCACGGGTCGTCAAAAGCTTGGTCTCTGCACTGTTGTCAAATAGGCAACACATATCTCCAACTGAGTGGCAATTTTACGGGTCGCCAAAAGCTTGGCCTTTACATTATTCTTAAACAGGCAACCTATATCTCAAGTTTAAGGACTCTCTCATGAGTCGCTGAAAGTTTGGTCTCAAAAGGTGTATCTCTCTCATGAGCAATCTTCAAATTTTGTCTTTACTCTCGCGCAAGCAGCTTGCCTTTCTCTCCATGTAATCATGTTAGATATTTTAATGTTAGAATAACATTATTTTTGCCAAGCACACTTTTGAGGCTCAGGCTATCTGGGACTACATTAGATTAAATGTCATCAACCTTTTTGTGCCCATCTGGCACTGCCGCCTCTTTGTTGCAACTCTCCAACGCTTATGGGTAACTGATTAGTGGTTAAATTAGCATATTACTATGCTCTCTTAAGACTAATTATACTTTGATGAAGTTTAAATGATGACATTTTAGGCCATGAATTGTACAAGGGGCTAAAGGCAATAAACATCCAACTTTCATGCAACACTAGCATATTCTGAAGAAAAATTGGAAACGCTTGGACTAAGCCAAGAACGTTCGAACGCCAACTTACATTCAAACATCCACTTGAATTGATTGAAGATCAGATTGCTGAGACATGACGTGTTGCATCCAAGAAGGAAGATTCTCAGGTACTTGAGTACCACGTTCGAACGTCCACTTGAATTGATTAAAGATTAGACTGATGAGTACAAAACACCAAGATATGCATAAAGTATGGAAATAGGTTTTCATAGAAGACCACAGGCCACT